TATTTCCACAATTCTCCTAGGGTTATTTTGCTGGACGCGCTGAGCCTGTTTTGAGGGAATCACCAACAAAAAAACTTCGGCGATTTCCATGGAACAGCGCTCCCATAACAATGTATGCCATTTACTATGAGTGGGAAGAACTGAATATATATTTTTAAAGTTTTGCCATTTAACAAGAAGAAGAAGAACGAAATTATTTTACATATGTATTAGTTTTTTCGAAAAATTGTACATGTGTATTGAAGAATCGGGTAAGGCTGTCTACCAGGGTACACTGTACTAGATGAGAAATTAAAACATCGATGTATCGTTTTTATAACCGATGTTTTTTAACATCGATGTTTGTTGTGGGAACATCGATATTTTCAAACATCGATGTTTTTAAGAGCGATGTTGCATCCCTAGATCCATATTGATGGATTGATGGATCGCGCACGAATGCTACATGTTCAATATTTTTCGCGTCAGTATTTGCATAATTTTTGTGCTGAACGCTTATTATGACGCAAGAAAATATTTTTCTTTTGTATGAATAATTTGCAGATAATGCATTCCACAATTATTTTAAAATTTCTCATGTTAATTAAAATTGTTTCCATTTGTTTTGAAAGGTTTTAAGCAACGAGCCTTCGCGGCAGGGCGAATACGCTTTCGATGTTCGCATTATGAGAGTAAAAGATGTACTGACGAAATGTATGGATCGCGTTTTGAAAGTGCTACACGTGCAATATTTATTGACGGTGTTGGTAACACCGCAACAGTTTAAATGAATCACCAAGTGTGAACTCACCCTTGGTTTTATGCACGAATATGTCATCCGGCAACTCTACCATTTTAATGTTTAAAAATTGCCACTAGGCAACCTTTTTTTCCTTTTACTTCAATATTCTATTGCATTCTTACGTATTCGATTCGATTTGAAAAGTCGAAGAAAAGCGTGCGATTGAGAAAAGCAAATGTGAGTACTTGAATACGATTTTATGAGTTTGTATTAATTCTTACTTTTCAATAAAGTTTTAAAAGCATTCGTTGAACTATCCAGAGGAGATTGTTTGTTATTCTGACGGAGTCGACTGCTGTTTGAGTTGGTTAGACCAATATTCTTTTAAAAATTCGACGCACGATTCGCTATCGGCTGGTGTACGGGCTATTCCGAAGATCGAAGAAATAGCTTTTCGTCTGATACAACAACAATTTCAGCATGGTAGGCACAAGAAAGGGCGTTGAATAGAGCAATCAAGCACCTGTAGACTGCGCTGTATGCAAACTGCCGGAAAGCGAGCAAATGGTTCAGTGTGATGCATGCGACAGTTGGACGCATTTTGCATGCGCAGGAGTATCGGAGGATGTGGCCGAAAGGGCATGGAAATGCAAAGGGTGTGCCACACCATCAAGCTCGAGCTCATCGAAAACGTTGCGAACGGCATCGAATCAGAATCGGCAACCAAGCGTGCACGAACACACTGAAAAGTTAGGTGAAAAGAGTAAAAGGTCAAGTAAGTGTAGCTCTTCGAAATTGAAGCGAAATATAAAAATAGAATTAATGCGTTTGGAAGAACAAAAGGAGACTGAACTGAAATATTTAAGACAGAAATATGAAATTATGCGCAAGTATGAAAGCTCTGACGAGTCAGATGATGAAAATTTGGAGGCATTGAAGGTGCATCGCACATTGCAATGGCCAAATGGCAATGGTCAGGGCGGTATAGGTGGGGCTAAGGAGAGGTAGCTCGAAACAGGTGTTGGGCATGAGGGGAAAGAATTGGGCAGGATCCGTTATGAGAAGCAAATTCAGGCACGCACAACGTCGGAGGCGAACGCCATAGGCTTGACTACACAGCAAGTAAGCTCGCGGCATGTGGTACCAAAAGATCTTCCCACCTTTAGCGGCAGGCCAGAGGAATGGGCCCTGTTTATAAGTAGCTTTGAGAATTCAACGCGGTTGTGTGGGTTTAGCCACGATGAGAACTTGCTTCGTCTGCAACGCGCCCTAAAGGGAAGGGCGCTTGAGTACGTTAGCAGTAAATTGATGATTCCGGCTCTGGTGCCGGAGATGCTGCGAATGGTGTGTGGTAGACCAGAGCAAATAATAAATAATCTTTTGGCAAAGCTGCGCTCGTCAGCGCCTGTCAACGGTAACAAACTTGAGACACTCATAACTTTCGCGCCTGAGGTTAAGAATTTGGCTGCTGCAATGGAAGCTTCTGGGCTTCAATTGCATATGACAAATCCATTTCTAATGCAAGAGCTGGTTGAAAAGCTACCAGCGCAAATGCGCCTACAATGGGCAATGTTTTACAGACCAGCTGGCGATACAAGAATTATAGTCTTTAGCGAATGGCTTTTTGACTTGGCAGACGCTGCTTGTAAGGCGACGTCAATTATTTCCACTGCCAGTCCTGAGTCGGAGAGGCGTAAAGCTCATCGTTCCATACAGAGGAGGTGGAGCCAAGCGAAGAATCTGTCCAGCAAGTAAGGCCTACACTGGCATGCTATTTTTGCAACGAATTACATGTTATATTGAAGTGCGATAAATTCCGACAATTAGGCTATGATGAAAAGTGGAACGAAGTCCCTAAACTGAAGCTATGCAGAATATGTCTAAAAAGGCACGATGCAAGAAGCTGTCTTGACAGTAAGGTATTCGGCGTTGATAATTGCGCCTATCGTCACAACCCGATGCTTCACAAGCCTATGACAGGAGAAAATGTCGACGGTTCTACTACAGTTGGGGCGCATCAGGTGGAAAGTTCCAACACACTTTATCGAGTTGTCCCGATTACAATCTACGGGAATGGCACTTCCTGCGATGTATTTGCGTTTTTAGATGACGGGTCCGGCCCGACTCTAATAGAGAAGAATGTGTTGCAGCAGCTGAAAGTGCAAGGAGATAAAACAGACCTCTGTCTCCGCCTCTAAAGTTTCGAGAAGGCAAGGCACACGAGCCGGCTGCCACCAAGACACGTATTGGGTGGACTGTGTATGGTGTAATGAATTCTGACGCGCAGAAAAATTACGATAACCTGCAACTTCATATTTGTGAGTGCGACGAAGATGTGGCTCTGCAAAAGTTAGTCACAGAGTACCTGTCTTTCGATAACCAGTACGATGACAGCAAACACAATAAGTGTTGCGATAGGCAACAAGAAGGTATGCACGAGAGTGTTTCACGCAATGGAAAGCATTTCGTGGTGAAACTGTTATGGAAGTCGGAGAGCATCAATATGCCGGCCAACTATGTGATGGCTTTGCGGAGGCTCAGATGTTTTGAGAGAAAGCTGAATGGGTCTCCTGAGCTGAAATCATTTGTTAGCGAACATATCTGTTCAATGCAAGAAAAGGGGTACATTCGTAAACTAAACGCAAACGAGGTTGTTGCTCCCCACCCACGAAAATGGTATTTGCCGATGTTTGTAGTGCAAAATCCAAACAAACCACGGAAGGTTAGAGTCGTTTGGGATGCTGCTGCAGAACATAAGGGTGTTTCCTCTTAAATAAAGTCTCAGATTTATTGACTTCCATCTTCGATGTTTTGCTGAACTTCCGGAGCGGAAAAATTGGAATATCCGGCGACATCAGTGAAATGTTTCACAGAATCTTCGTTAATGAGGAGGACCAGCAATCGCAACGGTTCTTGTGGCGAAACTGCGATGAGACTCGCCCGCCAGATGTATATCTACTACGAGTAATGAGCTTCGGAGCAAGTTGCTCGCCGTCTTTGGCACAATTTGTGAAGAATCAGAACGCGAAAGAATCTGCTGATACGTACCCGCGACCAGCGAAAAGTATTTTGGAGAGGCACTATGTCGAT